TCTTAATTTAGTTTATATAATAAAATGAGAGAGAGAGAGAGTCTGAGGTTCAGTGTTTTACTCTACAGTTTAAAAAGTACAGAAAGTTGTCTCAAGACTTAACTCTCATATACTGTGTGTTTGTCTCAAAGCTTGTGATCAATGCCTCGATTTGTGTTTCCATTCGCTATAATAAATGAAAACTATTTTTAAATGACTTTTATTCAACACTTCGTCCAATAAAATAAATTATTTATTAAAATTATATTTTTATTTCACAATTATTTATTCAAATCCATGTTTTGTAAAATATTCAAGAGATCTAATGTTTTACTTTTACATTTTAAATCATCCAAAAAGTGTATTCTTGTAAGTCATATACGGCTCTCATATACTGTATGTAAAGAATAAGTCGTTTTATTCTCAACTTTTAATTAATTTTATTTAATTTTAACAATTTATAAAAAAAAAGTTACAACTTATGGCAAAAAGTTACAATTTATTTAATTAACACAAATAGTGTAAACCATATTTGTTTTAACTCTCGTTTACATTTACTTTAAATTATTTTAAAAGTTTAAATTTTTAAACATATTTTAACCAAATGTTTAGCGTTACTAAAATATTAAAATACTTGCAAAAAAGGTAATAAAAATGTAAATCTGAAAAATATTAGAAACAATTTGTATTTCTTGTGTTAGATAATAAATACCATACATGCATTTATTGTTATAAAACATGTATTTAAGCAAATAAAATAGATTTTATTAAAAGTTATTTCCCTTATATTATATTTCAAAGTTTAGATCGAGAGAGAGAGAGAGAGAGAGAGAGACTCTCAAAAGGCGACTCTTTTGTCGATCGATTCAAACTTTTTTCGTAAGTATTTCTATAATTATAATCAACCGAATTGCTATTGTATATACTCCTATCTTGAAGTTTCAAAAATTACGTCATTTAAATGAAAAAATTGACAAAAAATGTGAATAATCAACATAATTACTGGACATATTTAGATTTAAATGTGTAAACCCAATATCTAATTCAAAACATGAGAAATGTCCAATATATTTTCACTATTTTTACATCTAACATAAACAATAAACTCCTAACTTGAAAATTTGCTCATTTTGAACATTGTAACTTGAATTTTTCTAACTTGAAATCCTTCTATCTTGAAGTCATTTGTCAGGACCCGATCATTTCAAGATACAAGGTTTTTCTGTACACACACAACCACTTCTGCGCTTAAAACACATTTTAAACCCCTTTTGCAGTGAATATAATTGAAAATATTTCACTTTTCTAACGCAATGCTTACGTTTGGCTATACATGCTATGCGTTGTTATACAATATAAGGCCAAGTATTAGTCCGTATTCTCATAAAATATATGACATTTTAATGAATACTTATTGCAGTGAAATATAGCGTCAAATGTCAAACACAAGCGACAGAAGCGCTGAATCAGAAGACACGGAGAGATTGACAGACATATGAAGACATCGCAGAAGAGGAGCGGCGAAAGGGGTGGCGAAGGATATCGACCACAATATGAGTCCAAACACAGAAAGAGACACAATAGCCAGAGTCCGAACTTACAGTATGTCTCCGATGAGAACCACTCGACTCGCGAGGAATACGAAGAGGAAGAAGAAGAAGACGAGATGTTAGACGAGACCAATGAGGAAGGGCTCGATATAAAGCCATCGCAACACAAGGCGTCCACTTATTCCCGGCATAAGAACTATTCGGTTGATTATAATTATAGAAATACTTACGAAAAAAGTTTGAATCGATCGACAAAAGAGTCGCCTTTTGAGAGACCGAAAGACAGATATCGAGACAAACACCGCAACAGAAGTCGATATTCATATAACAAGAGCGTAAAAAGTGAAGACTTTAGACGCCGGCGACGGGAAGACGAGACCGAAGTAAACGTCAATCGAAACAGAAATCAAAACACCGATAAACAGACTCTTTCCGAGCGTTGGATGGGTTTAGACGATAAGAATAGTTCCGGCGATAACTGGAGGTCTAAGCGCAGTGGCAGTGGACTGACAACCAGTCGATCGGCTAAACAAAAGCATAACAAAGAGTTAGAGCCGAGTCGTGAGAGATTACAAAAATCTCTACAAATGGACAGAAGTGTGAATAAAGTAATGGACTCTTCAAACACATTGTCAACGGTTAGTGTCAAACAGACGCCAAAGAAGTTGAATGAAATGCTTGACTGGCAAGAGGTAGAGATGAGTGAAGAAGCGAGGGTTAGTGATGAACACAGTGTTACCCATGGAAGTGATGTCTCGGAATCCGATGATAACGAACCACCGGTAGAATTAGGAGACGACATGAGCGACGATTTGCCCGATTATTATCCGGCAATACAGGGCTGTCGTAGTGTCGATGAGTTTGAGCGCATTAATCGCATAGAAGAGGGAACGTATGGAGTGGTGTACAGAGCGAGGGATCGGCGGACCAACGAAACGGTCGCTCTTAAGAGGTTGAAGATGGAGAACGAGAGCGAAGGCTTTCCCATCACTTCGTTGCGCGAAATCAACACTCTATTGAAGGCAAAGCACGAGAACATTGTGGCCGTCCGGGAGGTTGTGGTCGATGTTAATGTGGATAACATATTCATTGTCATGGAGTTTGTCGAACACGACCTCAAGAGTCTTATGGATGCCATGAAACAGCCCTTTCTGTTGGCCGAAGTCAAGTGTTTGATGCGACAGTTGCTGCGAGCTATGGCTCATCTGCACGACAACTGGATTATTCACCGCGACTTAAAGCCATCCAATGTGTTGGTCACTTGCAATGGGGTACTCAAAGTGGCCGACTTTGGTTTGGCCCGAGAGTATGGCTCATCTCTCGAAGCGTACACTCCTGTTGTGGTCACCCTTTGGTATCGTTCGCCGGAACACTAAAGCCATTATTCCCGCGAATCTCCGAAATGGATCAGTTGAACGCCATTTTCAAACACTTGGGAACGCCTAACGATAAGATATGGCCCGAGTATTCAGAGCTGCCGTTAGTGAAGAAAGTGACGTTCGCTGACCACAAGTACAACAATATGGCCAACCGTTTAGGACAAAAGCTCACGAATAAGGGCTTTGATTTACTCAATCGATTCCTCACTTACTGTCCGAGTCGTCGAATCACTGCCGACGAAGCGTTAAAACACGAGTTTTTTAACGAGTCCGCCACCGATCGACCCGTCAATGTTGTTGATGCGGCCCGCGAACAGTCAACAGTCGGCTAACTCACTGTCCCGTAACTCACAACTGGCCGGCGATCACTACGAGAAACTCATTGAAGGCCAGGGCTTTCACATGCGTTCACCCGTTGACGGAAAGGCATCCAAAGGCGAAGGGTTTGCCCTTAAATTCTGATAAATTTTATTTGTCCTAATCATTGATTTTATTGATAAAAATTATTTAAAGTAAACCCCTGATAATTCCCATTTTATGTATTTATAAATAATTGATTAATTCATATTTATATCCACTTTTGTAACATTTTTATATAATTTAGTAAAACTTTTTGCTGACACTTTCATAAGCGATTCTGCGCTGAAAAATATTTTTAAACCCTTTTTACGACCCTTTGTTCAGAATTATTTCACATTTTCTAATGCAATGTTACGTTCGGTTACATAACATGTTATGTGTTATTATGTAATATAAGTCGAAGTATTAGTCCTATTATAAAATGTTATTTCATATCGTATTGTAATAAATAGTACAAAATATTATTTAAAACTTATATACAATGTCTGAAATGTAGTTATGATATAATGTTTGCATAGCTTATATAGTAAAGAATTTAAGCATTTTGTGATATTTGGTTGCATTTACTAAATAAATATAATCACTTTAAATAAATCTATTATTTAAACTAATAATAAAATCATCACTTCATTTGATCACAAGATATGGCACAACATATGAAACACTTGAAGACATCACTTGAGACCACAGATGACGGCAATGAAGACAACAGACAACAGGTATTTGACAAACAATTCACTGTTTATTGAGTTTTAATTATTTTTATTTAACAATTTAGATACAAATTTATGCGAAGGACTCAATGGACAGATTCGGTGATGATTTGTGTGCACTTCTGTTGTTTTTTCTCTCACTCGAAGACCGATTCCGTTGCGAATGTGTGTCCAAACAGTTCCAGAGGACAGTCTTCGAGAGTGTTGTGGACATCACTCTTTGCAATCAAATTATTAATAAAATAATGGGAACATTAATTGACACCCAATTGTTGGCCACAATTGCCAAAAAGTGTCCAAACATTGAGATCATTGACTGCCGAGAAATAACTTATGGATGTCTGAAATACATGCCCGAAGTGTTGAACGCATTTCAGAATAATTGCCGACATTTACGTGAAATACACGTAACGTTATGGCAAATAAATCACGAATGGATGCATTCATTTGAATCACTGGTCAAAAAAATTAGTTATATCAGAGCAGCGTTTCCAATGTCACGGCTTAATCAATGCTCTATATCAAACTTTTGGGCACGCTATAATTCTGATCAATTATTAATAAAAAATTTGCACACAATTGAGTTAAACGAATATTCGCCTGAAAATAACCGACTATTGGCCGCATTCGCCGCACAGAATCAGTGCATCAGATCTGTTGTCATCCACTCATCTTGTAATCAATTTAGTAATACAATCGTTGAATGCGGTCAACAATTGTCACTATTAACACAATTACGGGAATTGAGTCTCCGTTTGGATCAAGTAATAAATGAGAACTCATTGTCTGAGTCTTTGCGTACAATTGGCTTAAACTGCAAACAATTGCAACGATTGACACTTCAGTTGATGTCAAACAATACACCACTCGATGGCCAGACATTGGATTCGTTGAGATGTTATCACAGATTAAAACGATTGCGTTTATCAGTCTATGCGGCCGTCGATCCACAGTTTTTGGAACCATTGAAACTCTGCCACCGATTAACACATTTGACACTTGAGTTGATATATAACTCAAGTGAAGTGATTGACAATATTCTGAATAATTGTGGTAAACATTGGCCACGACTTCAATACTTATTAATTACATGCAATTATTTTGAAATCAAGTGTTTGTCACACATTTCAAGACTACCAGCGCTGCAAACACTTAAAATAAGTACGATTTGTAATTTTGATAAAATTAAATATTTGTCTCACGTCTCAAGACTACCGGCGCTGCAAATGCTTGTCATTCGTTTCCGTGAAGACATTCATCTCTCGGACACTGATTTGAATGCTGTGTTGTCTTCGAATCCTAAACTCAAGAACATTGAAATCATTGCAAATTTTGTGAAGAAAATTTATTTAAAGTAAAAATACATTAGGAATATAACTATAATCTATTCAATGTCCAACATTCACCGGTACCGGAACTGTGGCCACTTACGTATCGGTAGTCGGCCACTTGTGCAATGTGTTCGCATTTGATTCCTGTTATAATTGATGTCACGATAACTGCTATAAACTTTTGTCGAATAACTTCTAGTGAAAACCAATAACCAAATAATATATTCAAACATTTATTTCATTAATAGGACTAACATTTTGTGTTTTTATTAGATATTGTAGTATTAGTAGGGTTGACAATATGACAAACCATGTATGTAATTTACGGTGTGTTTTACATGCACATATTTTTCATTTTGTAAAATACGTTCTGTAAGAATAATAATCGATTAAAATCAGTAAATAAAAACCAAAAATCAATTGTTTTGAGTTATTTTACAAAAACGAATGACAAATATTGATGCAATTTTTGCGTAAATCAATGACTGAATCAGCAACTCATATAAAATAAAATATAAAATTTTCTTAAGTACAGTTAACCCTTGTATCTTGAAGCCTTCCATCTTGAATTTCTACCTATCTTGAAGCAAAACACTGAGTCCCGATTCATTCCATAGAAACGCAATGTTAAATTCCCTCCTATCTTGAACCTTCTAT